ACCATTCGAAAATGGCATCGGAAACACACCAGATGAATATGAGGTCATTTCTTGACGATTGACCATAGTGACCTAGAAATCTCAACTTGCAAAAGTTAGGCCACGCCCGGTCTCAACGCTGCTCAGCTCAATTTTCTCTAGCAAAAAAAATCCCTTACGAAGATCTGGACGATCCACTACTTCTTGACGATGTCGACGACGCCGAACGTCGTCTCTTCTTCTTCTTCTCCGGTGTCCTCTTCATTCTGATGATCTTTGTCGCCTTTTTCCTAAAATCATCAGCATCCTCATCACTGGATATTTGCTGTGCATCGAATCTCGTCGGTGACCAACTGATCCCTCGTGGTGGCGGGGATTTCGATGAGTTCCGTTTCATTAAAGGCGCAGGCTTCGATTGGGACGTCGTTCTGCCACGTGCCGGAAACATTGGAGTGTCTTTTTGGAAGGCGTTTCCAGAATCTCGTTTGAAACGATTTGGGTTGTTGTATGGCTGTTGATTGTTGCGTGACGGGTAGATGCATTGGGGTCCCAGATCTAAAGCTAGGCAGGGGTTTTGTAGTTTGTAGTCCAGGTGGCCTATTCGGGTTTCTAGGCCACCAAATTCAATTTTTTCCTACCTTTTGGCTTGTTGGTCCGGATCTCCATAAGCGATGGAATACCTTCACGTCCTCCAGATAGCACATCGTCATCTGAAATTATCGAATAGGATTTGGAATAGGATTTTTGAATTTGCGCGTCAGGGAGTGTTTGCGGAGCAATGTCTGACTTTAGAAAATTCTGCAAACACTCTCTGGCATGATGACGCGCAGATTTCAAAAATTCGGTCTAAGTTTAGGCCTCAAAGGTTCTGTAGTTTTATCGAAATTTCTAAAAAAAAACTACCGTAATCCGCAAAACCTCACAGTAAGGGTCCTTACTCACCAATAATTTCCCCATGCATCACCTTCTTGGCCTCCAGAAGTGTGGATTCGAACGACGTCTCATGGGACTCCTCACGACGTGGCAGATATTGAAACGGCTGATTTCGGATGGGTGGAAGAACGGTGCCACGTTGCATCGGCCGGGATAGACGATTCTGGAATTTAGACTACAGAAATTAAGAAAATTTCAAATTTCAAATTTTAAGAAATTTGTAAATCCAGAATTCCAGAAATTCAGATTATCCGAAATTTATAACTTCAAAAATTAAGAAATTTAGAAATTCGAAAATTTAGGGATTCACAAATATTTTCAAGCCGTGCCACTACAAAGACTACAAAGACTACAAAAACTACAAACTACACAACACAACAACTCACATCATTCAACTCGAAACCAACCTCTATTGGTCGTCTGGAACCTTCTGGAGCGGTGATTAGAGCTGAAAACTTGGGTTTTTAGGGGTAAAAATGATGAAAATCACTAAAAATTGGCTAAAAAAGGTGATTTTTAAAAGCCAAATTTAAGTGAAAAATCGATATTTCACCAAAATGCCTAAAATTCCACAAAATCGGTCGAAATTGATCAATTTTAATGGTTTTTAGGTCAATTACAGGTGAAAGGAAAATCGTTTTTTAACAAATTGTATGCCAAAATCAGGCGAAAATACCTCTTTTCGGTGGGCTTTCGACTTCTCCTTCATCACTATCCTCTAATTCGCCATCTTCCAACTCTCCTTCCTCTTTCTCTTCTTCGGCTTCGCCTTTTTCTTCTTTTTTAACTTCTTTTTCTTCCTTTTTCTCTTCCTTATCATTTTCATCTTCTTCTTCTATTTCTCCATCGTCTTCTTCCTCTTCTTCTGGATCCTCACTGTAATCCAACGCATCTGTGATATCTGGAGACGATCCGCGCGATTCTAGCGGTTTCTCGATGACTTCTGAAGCCATCACTTGCTCTTCTACCATGTCGCCTGGAAAATAATTTTTTTAGTTCAAAATCGTTCGAAAATTCGGGTTTTTTCTCGAAAAATTCAATTTTTTAAAGGCCAAAAATCGCAGCAAAAACTCTTTAAAGTATTTTTATTTAAGTAGAATTTAAAATTTTTACAGAATTTTCTTCGAAAAGTCGAGAAAAATCTGATTTTTAGGGGGGAAAATCGAAGAAAATCATGAAAAAAAAATTGTCTACCGTATTTTAAAGGCGCACAGTGCAAAATTTAATTTTCGCGGCGGAGCCAAAGCGTGCTGTGCATGCGCCTTTAAGGGATACGGTAGCGGAATTAGAGAATTTTACCCTAAATTCTCGATTTTTGAGCTCAAATTTGAGAAAAATTAAACGAATTTTTGTAAAAAAAAACAGAGGATGCACAAAAATCAAAATTCTACCGTTTTCTGACATATCTTTTGACTATTTTGGACTATAATTGTGACAATTTTAGGAAAAAAAATTTGTGCAATTTATGTCGAATAGTCACGGAAAATCTGATTTTTTGATGTGAAAACGAATAAAATACTTCAAAATTGCAAAAGCAAAGAACACAGTAACCTTTAAAGACGCATACCGGAATAGTATTTATTCGTGGCGAAACCCAACGGTTTTTGCGCATGCGCCTTTGAAGGCTACGGTAGCGGGATTTTTTCTAAATTTCGGATTTTCAGCGAAAATCATTGAATTTTATACGGAATTTTGCTGAAAAATAAGCAAAAATTGACAAAAAAAGGATTCGCAGCGATTTTTACACAAAATTTCCCATATTTTTCACCTAGAATTGCAAAAAAAGTAACTTACCAACAGCCTCGATTCCCTCAAGAAACGAGTCATCATCATCCATGCTCCCTGGAAAATCTTTCGTTTTTAAAACATTCCCATGACATTTTTCAGCGGATTTTTTGGGTAAAGATTTCGAAACACTTTTTCTGATATATGGAATTTTGAACTCAACCTTTTTATGTGACAAAACAACCCGAAGAAGAAGAAGAAGGAAAAAAGTGTGTGGGTGGGAAATTGTGTGTGAGGGGGTCATTTTTTTGCTCAGAAGGGTATTTAGATATGCAAAATGGCAAATATTGCAATAATATTGAAGAATTTATAATAAATATCGATTTTTAGACACTTTTTAGAGACTATAGCAGATTTCGGCCCGCAACGAGCGCGGAGAGAGAGCGATGCAAGTGATGGGGTCGGGGTTGTGTTGTTGGAAGGGCGAGAGAGTATGGAATAGTGCGGTGGAGGGGGAGAGACGCAGAGTATTGAGAGCGAGCGGCGACAACAAGGTACGCAAACACTGCAAGATTTAGGGCATTAAAAACGACGCGCAGAAGTTTATGGCTGTTTTTTGGTCAGAATCTGTGGAAATGCGGCCATTTAATTGAATTTCTGAGTTTAGAAAAAAACAAAAATTAGATAACAATTAGAAAAAAAGAGGAATTTATCGAAAAAATAAATCTACAAAAATGAAAAATTGATTGAAAAACGGAAAATTTCAGATTAAAAAAAACAATTTTTCTGGGACTCCTTCTCACGTTCATAAGCGAAATTTTTCGCATAGAAAAAAAGTGACTCAGTTTGAATAAAACAAAAGTGAACTGTGTTCCGAAAAACGAGAGATTGGAGACGCAGAGACTTTTCGGAGGAAGGGATGGGGGTCGGGAGCGTAAAATACAAACAAAACCAAGAAGAAAAAAGGAAAGGGAAAGAGATGGTTTCATTTTTTGGAAAATGGGAAAGTACGGTTTTATGGGTTTTTGAAGAAGTCATTTTTCTATATCTTTCGGAGAGAAAGTAATGGGAAGAGATGGGTTTATGGTTTTAAAAACTTTTGAATTTCTGTATTTTCGAATTTTAGAGTTTCAGGAGCTCCAAATTTGAGAATTATTGAGTTTCGGAAATCTTGAAATCTGGGCTTTCTTTAATTTCTGAATTTTTGAATTTCGGATTTTCTGGAATTCTGAATTTCAGAATATTAAAAGTTCAGAATTTTTGAGTTTTGGAATTTTGATGTTTAGGAATATCCAGGATTGAAAAATTCTGAAATTCCATGAATTTCAGAAGTGCAAAAATTCAGACTACTGAATTTCTGCAAGTTTTGATTTTTGAATTTTCAGACAAATCGAAAATTAGAATTTTTGAAGTTCTGAATTTTTGAAGTTCTGAATTTCTGAAATTCTGAATTTTGAAATTCCAAAACTGAATTTCTGAATATTCGAAAATTTCTGAAATTCCGAAATTCAGAAATTTTGGTTTTTTTTGAAACATTTGAAAGTTTGGACTTTTGGAATCTCGAATATTCAAAAAAAATGTTCTGAACTTTTTTCAGAATTTTGGATTCTCTAAATTTCGAAATTTCTGAATTTTGAAACTTTTTTTTTCAAGAATTAGGTCTAGAAAATACAAAGAAAATGGGTCATGGCCTAGAAAATTCAAAAATTAGATCGTGACCTAGGAAACCCACAAATCTAGGTCATCCTAGAAAAACTAGGTCATGATTTAGAAACAATTAGGTCATACCCTAGAAAAAATTATGCCATGACTTAGAAACAATTAGGTCATGACCTAGAAAACTTTTTAAAAAACTAGGTCATGTCCCATTTAAATAATTGGTGTGAACTTCAATAATCAAGACAAAAATTCATAGAAAAAAAGTATTTTATTTCAAAATAAAAAATTATATCAACAGAGACTACGACAATTTTTGGGGGGAAGGTGGTGTGAACCCGTAAAACCAATAATTATTTTTGTTCTTGAAAATAAAATTTCCGTTTGAAAAATGTTCCATTTCTGGGTCACTAAACGGGGTCTCCGTTGCTGCTAACACTATAATTAACGCTTTGTTCTTTTATCGTATTATCCACAATACGACAGCAACATCGATAGGCGATTCCGACGATTACAGAGTAGAGGACCAGGACGATATCTGGAAGTTTATCGAATATTCGAATTTTCAGAATTTCGGGATTTCAGAACATCCGAATTTCAGGAAAAAAAACCCACCAATCACAAAAGCGACCAATAAAAATTCAAACAGCAAATCCGATGTCATCTCCTCGATGAGAAAATACATTATACTTGACATAATCGCAATTGTTAAACTGCAAAACTTTTAATTAAATAGTTCAGAGTTCTCTTTTTAGGTTACTGTACCTGCTAACAAATGCAACTACCAAGAATAGGAAGTCAAAAACTATATGGAGCACAAAGAGGCTCCATCGAGGGAAAAAGATGCCCATTACAAATGGGACGGATGAGAAGAGCTGGAAATTTGAAAAATTATGAAATATATGCAAAAAAAAAATGAAAAAGGGTCTTACCACGAAAATGCACCAGACATCGAAGGCCATTCGAGCCAGGCAGACAGAGGATTCTTTGAGTTTCGCGATTTCCATCTGAAATTTTTTCGTTGGAAAGTTTGGATAGGGTTACTGTAGCTTTTTAGGATTTTCTTTGACGATTTTGGTATATTTTTCGAAAAACCATAATTTTCGATTTTTGGAATTACTGAATTACTAAATTTTGAAAAATTTGAGGATTAAATAATTTTTTCTAGATTTTTCTGAAAATTAGAAAACTCCAGAAAAGTAAAATTTTCGATAAAATTTGAATTTCCATTCAAAATTGGAGTTTTTGAAATCCAAACTTTAAAAAAATCAAAATTTCCAGAAAATTCTAAATTCTTTATTTCGAACAATGAATAATTTTCTGAATTTTTTGCTTGAAAAATCGAAATTTTTATGATCAGGATTTTCTTCAAAAATCACGACATGCACTTTCTGCCCGACGTACTTGGGCAAGGCATGACCAAGGTGTCCTTCTAAAAACCTACCTCTAGATGCAAGGGATCATAGGGTCTAGTAGTTGTCTCCATATCATTCGGTCCCACAAACGCATTTCGAAACATTGGAGTGACGTCTTTTACATAGATTGTTTCTGTATCTGCATCATTCACTTCTACATAATACGGTGCTTCTGATGATGGAGGTATGAAATGGAATGATGGAGATGATGTGGATGTTGTTGGAGGATGATCGGGTAGATGGACATGATACGGAGAAGCGGCTGAGTTTCCAGAGTGAGATGGTTCAAGATCCGTAGAGAGGATTGATGGGGTGTAGGCCTCGAAGGCCTCCTTTTTCTGGTCCCATTCTTTTCTTGATATGCCGCCCTGAAAATTGTGAATTTCTGTAATGTCAAAAGATTCCAGAAGTTCTCAAAATTGAGGCCGGAAAAATTAGTTTGGTTTTTGGAATTTTGGAATTTCTAATTTTACCGTAAGACATGTGAGGTCTCTTAATTTTGAGCTCAATTATCTCGATGCCTGTTAATTGTATCAAAAACTAGTCAACCAATAAAGTGTGAAAGATATTATGATAAACGTTTTATCAGTTGACAAAATTTTGATATCTTGCACAGAAACCAAGATGAATGGTCTCAAAGCTGAGGTTTAGAGTCTGACTCTTGAAACCCTTTTGAACTTTGAACTCAATTATCTCGGTACCTGTGAAAGGTATCAAAAAGTTGTCAAATAACAAAATATTTTTGATATTATGATCAATGTTTTATCAGTTGATATCTTTTCGATATCTTTTACAGGAACCAAAAAAAACGGGACAAAGTTAGGGTGCTCCTCTATTACAGGTATTACGGTGTTTCTAGGTGTTATTTAAAAAAGTCGAAAATTCTAACTTATTAGTTCTTGTCATTTCAATTTACGTTACATGGCCAGCTAGTGGAATAGGCTACAAATTCAAAGACATAATGGTTCATGACAGCTTCAAGGATTTTCAGTAAAAAATATCTTGAAACTTTTTTTTGGCACTAATTTAACCTATTGACCACTGACCGGTCTGGTACCCTTTGCCCAGCACAGCACTGGTTTAGTACCCTAGATGCGTTTGCTATAAAAGGTTGAAGAAAAAGACAAAAAAGACAAAAAACACTAAAGTCACTGCCACGAAGAATAACCAAAACTTCAATCGTGATGCTCAATAGGAGAAACGAGAGAAAAATCGATTTCGGTGAATTGAATAAAGGAATTAATCCAAGGTAGGGTTTTGAGGAATTGAAGAAAAAACCAATTAATTTCAGAACTGATGGACGAAAATATTTGTGAGACTTTTCGAAACATTTGCAAGGTAATTAGTATTTTTAGATACAATTGGTTCAAGAATGAGTGCCCGATTCGTGCGGACAAATGTGATCCTGTTCCTTATGATGCAGCAATTAAAATGTGCGAAGATGCTGATCAAACGGATGTCCATAAAATCGTCGGAGATTGTAAACCTGCTGCTGAGGAGGCATTCAGTAAATATTGCATAGAGGCGAAGAATGGTGAGATGGAACAGTGACATAAAATATGAAAACTATTGTAATTGTTCCAGAAATTCCTTCATGCTATCAATTCTACCCAACTACCGCGTCCATCTACTCAACTACCGCAAATGATTCCAATAAAATGATTCCATTTATCATTGGAGGAGTTATTGGAGTCATTGCCATTCTTGCCATCGGAATTGGCATTTTCTGTTACTGTAAGAAGAAGAAAGCATCTACACCAGGACAGTCAATGACTGGAACAACGACTGGAGGGACCACGGCGACTGGGAATACCACAAAAACTGGAACTAAAACCAATACAGGAACAACGAAGGCTGCAACGACTACTGGAGCTCCAACAGCTAGATATTGAACTTTTCCTGGTTTCTATTTACTTGTTTTCTTATTGCATAGCAATAAAAATGGTTTTCATTAATGAAGTTTGAAAAAAATTAGTCTGAATTTTGAGAGTTAGCCTTAAAATACCACGAATACCTATACAAACAGTCAACTCTGAGCTCAATTATCTCTGTTCCTTCAGAAGAAATCAAACAATTTGTCAACTGATAAAATGTTTATCATAATATCACCTACATTTTTGTAGTTTACAGATTTTTGATATCATGCATAGGAATCGTGATCATTGAGCTCAAAATAGCCAAGCTTCCTTGATGTCACTTTCCGCGCCTCCTGGTCACTTTAAAGTAACGTATCTCGCTTCCTATGAGAGATATCAAAAAGTTGTCGACTGATAAAAGTTTTATCATTACATCAAAAATATTTTATTGGTTGATAACTATTTGATAGCTTTCACAGGGACCTAGATATGTGATCTGAAAGTAATCAAGCTTGACGCCCCCTCTCTGCCCGCGCCGAAGCGTCCTTGGTCATTTTGAATTTACCGTATCTCGCTTCCTATAAAGCATATGAAAAAGTTATTAACTAACAAAATGTTGGTGATAATATGAACAACATTTTACCAGTTGACAGATTTTTATATATTTTACAGAAAGCGAAATAATTTAGCTCAAAGTTGAGGGTTAGTGTCTGATAGAAGAGTTTTAAAACCTTTTGAACTTTGAGATCAATTATCTCGGCTCCTATAAAAGATATCAAATTTTTGTCTACTGATAAACATTTTATCATGATATCACCAATATTTTATCAGTTTACAAATTTTTGATTTCTTTTACAGAAATTGAGATAATTGAATCTCAAGAAGTCCCTACCGGTAACGGTTTCTCTGTAGTCGTGGCCATAATTGCCTTCGTCGTCGTCGTGGCCACTTCAGAATCCACTTTAAACTTCACGTCTTCTCCTCGATTTAAATCCTCCTCCGCCTCATCAATTTTCGTTTGCTCTGTAGTCTTTGGCGCCAAAAATGTCGTATATTTCAGTTCATCCATATCCCACATCATTCTCGTACTTTCCGATAGTTTTATCTTCTCCTTATCCTCTTCTGAATCCCCTGACGACGGTTTTGGCGTTGTGGAGAATGGTTTTTTCGATGCCTTTTGCATCGGATACCCTCGGATTTGTCCTTGGTTTGAGAATTTGGGGTCGGAGGGGTCCACTACTCCATTTATCCAACTGGATTTGGGTCGAGGGGTGGTGGGACCAAGACTTGAAGATTTTCCAACAAGATGACGTGGCAATTTGGTCACTTCTTCTGATGGATTCGTCGTTTTTTGCTGCTTTTTCAGCTTTTTCAAACCCTTTCCTTTTGGTTTTTTGGTCGTTGTGGATTCTGGAGTCGTGGAATTCTGGGATTCCGCCAATAGCTTCTTCGCCTTTTTCAATCCTTTTCCCTTCTTTTTTGTCTTCTTATTCTTCTCCAAATTTTCAGAATCCTTTTTCAGCTCTTTTAGAAGATCAAAATGCTCTTCTTCGTCTCCTCCATGCCTAGATTTGATTTTTGAAACATAGATTCTTGGAGCATTTGCAATGTCGATTTCGATGAATTGCTCCTCGTCGGAGCCAACTTTTTCGACACGATTTCGAATGGTTTTCATTCTGAAAAATGCTTTCTTTGGAATTGGCTGAAATGCATACTTGTAATCTGGGCCTTTGCTGGGCCTTGGCGGACCCTGCCATAATTTCTTTCAGAATCAATATTTTCGAACCAACTAAATCAGATATGATACAGTATTCCAAATTATACCGTTTTGTAGTACTCGTGAATCTTTATCATATCTAATTGAGTTGGTTCGAAAACATTGATTCTGAAAAAAGTTATGGCAGGGCCCGCGAAGGCCC